TAAAATAACTATCCTGAGCTGGTGAAGCCCTGGACAATATGAGTTGCCCTACTTTGCCACAGTTTCTGAGCATTCTTTAGTAAACATGTACATTCCACACAGGATAAAACTGTAATTTCTTTTCAAACCTTCACTGTTGGTTTGATACCAAGTTCTTAGTTTCCTCAATTTCGGTCGGCCCAAATTTCAATCTAATAACATTACTGAGCCCGGACATTAAGTAAAAACTGGGAGGCGGGGGAATGTTTATTTGAAAAGTTTGGAAATTCTCTTTTCTGCTGTCACTACATTTGGAGAGGTTGACAAGCACGTCTTGAAGAGATATGATCATTTTACCGAGCACTGTGCTGTAACGGCGTGTAAACATTTAGTGTAATACCGACTCCTCACTTATCAACTACCTCTTTACACGATAGTTCTCATTTACTGAAATAGTAAACAAAATCTATTTTGTGATGGACAGTGTACATCTAGCTGTCAGGGAACAGTAATGCTGGCTGTGATGGTGAGACTGCGCATCAACCTGATGGGGCCATCATTCTCAGGGAGTTGGCAGTTTCATAATGAGGTAATCTGGCAGTTACGCAATGATACAATGTAGCAGTTATATAATAATGTAATCATTTTCCACCCTGTGATCTGATATAGTCACCCTCCTTATTTTTGCACATAATATCAATTTTTGCATAACCACCTGGTCTTAACCTAACCATGTCAGTAAGTAAGGAGTGGAAAATGCTGCAGCGGATGTGACATGGATGACCTCCTTGCCCAACTTTACCAGGTGGGCGGGGAATATGTTTTATCAGTATGAACCCAGAGTTGGGTGCTATCGGATGGAGGACAGACTACCTCCTCTCTATCACCATTGAGCCACATAGTACCAGCCATCCCTCCCACGTAACTCGTTGCAACTGGCTGCACAGAGCTCACTACTCTGAGGCTTATTGGAGAAGTAACAGGTGGCAACTTAGGATCTGGAATGACCAGGATACAGTTGGTTGCTCAGGGCAGTTTCTCGGCCATGCCCACAGACAAGCATCTTCCTGGACCTTGGTTCCTTCCGACCTCTGGGGCCAGCCAGCACAGCCTCTGCCCTGTTCAATCAAGTGTTACAAAGCCCTTTCTCTCTACACCCCCTCCACCAGTAAGCTTTGCTCTAACGGCTCTCAGTTCTCTTTAGCTTCTTATGTTGTCAAGCCTAGCTCCATCGGCAAGTGCCCAGAGGCACTTCACTCAGCCAGGAAGCTTCTGCCCAAGTGCACTCAGCTCTCAAGCTCCGTGAGCTGGGAAGTCCACTGTGCCATCTTCTATTGATCTCCTGGTCCTGCTGCCCCCCCTGCAGCTATTTCTTTACCATTTCTTCTCACCATCTCTCCTCCATCCCCAGGGTTGTAGCTCTCACTGGCTCCTGGGTCTAGGAGGTTCTCAGCACAGGGACCTCAGTTCTAAAGGAACTCCATTCCCAGCTCTTCTTTTAAGATGGTTCTGATGACTCTGTGTCTAACTGTGGGGTGGCTCACTTAAGCCCAGAAAGATAGCAAACTGACCATACCTTCGTGTGGGTTCTATGCACCTTATTTACATGGTTCCATCCCCACAAGGTTACCAGGCACCTTATTTGCATGATCAAAGTTACCCAGTCTCCTTAGTGGGCCACAATTACCTATTGGCATAGTCCTACTCAGTCAGTTGGTGGCATGAAAGGCTATATTAAAACAATCCATAACAGTGCAAATAGACTTGACTTAAAAACGTTTGCACGTAACTTTTTTTTTCCTTTCAAAAGAGGAGCCATTTGCAAAGCTGCCTTCAGTTGAATGTTGTTTCTTTTTAGATCTCTCAGTAAAAGTGTAAGGATGGTGTGAACAGCCCCTTTCTCCTCTATCTTTCAGCGGGGGCAGCGGAGGAGAATCACACTCCTCAGTGCAAGGCCAATCCCTATGAGACAAGTCAGACACACCTCCACCCTCCAAGCTTCGTATCATTACTGACACCAGCTGTCCCTCCCAATGTCTTGTTTCTCTGTTGGGCTCACAAATTCATTCCAATGGCCACACAGAACCCACAGACTGTAGTCAGGTTTATGGAGCTTATTAGGAACATTAACAAGTTATCATTCAAAATCAGAAATGACCACAATACAGTTTTTCCCTTCAGAAACACTTCTCAGCCATGCCCAAAGGAACACCACACTCCGATCGTAGGCCTTTTAGCCATGTGGTTTCTTGACCTCTAACCTGCTCAGGTGCCCCAAAGGCAAGCAACTCCATCATCAGCTCAGTCCAAAGACACTCTGCTCTAGCTCTTGGGTCAGAAAGCCCAGCTCTCCTAAAGAGAGCTTTCCTCTTTCTACTCTCAGCCTTACTCACTCCCTGGGCCAGGAAGCCCACCGCTGTCTCCTGCCCTTCCTCTCACTGCCTTTGCGGCTGCCATTCCTCGGATGCTGGATCCAGGACTTCCACTATGCAGGAATCTTAGGGTCCAGAGTATGTGTTCCACACCTGGCTCTTCTTTCTTGATGGCTGAGATTCACACACACACACACACACACACACACACACACACACACCTTTCTGCTTCTGAAATGGCTTCTGTTACAGCCAGCAGGATGACAGCAAACTGACCACTCCCTTCATTAGCTCTCCCTACACCTTATTTGCACAGCCCCACTCTGGCATTTGACGGCAGTTACAAATATTATGGCTAGAGGTCATATTAAATAATTCACTGCACCACAAAATGTAAAATAAAATCTAAAAATACATTGGTATTGTATCATTGTTGCTTTCAGTAATTTTGAAAATAGATTCATTCACCCCTAACAAGAATATATGTATGTAAGTGGGTCTCATTTAAAACACCGGTTTTAAATTCTTTTAAATGGGTTTGTAACTAGGATTTGGGGGAACGAGTTTGCCTGTGCTTATTAGTGTTTTAAGGGGAAGGAAAGGATGTTCACAGAAAAGATGATGCATCCTTCTGTAAAATTATCAGTTTTTCAGGTACCAGCACACTCCCCGGAGGCACGCAACCCTGAATTATGCACACTGATCTAGACAAATTCAACAGGACATTTTCATTTCACTCAGACATGTGCAAAGGAAGGACAAGCACCAGACAGGTCCATTTCCAGACAATTAATCATTTGTTACTGAGGGAAGCCAATTTAAACTGCAATGAAATGCCTAACCGATGACAACCTTCGAACCCTAAAATCTCACCTCCTTCTTTTCCTGGAGAAATTGGTTTGCACCAACCTTCTCAAAGGAGTCCCGTTTTTGTCAGCCAGAAAGGGGCACTGCTGCCTGGGAGTGGGGTGTGGCAGGGTTATTACCGGGACTTCCCAGGTTTTCTGTTTCTCACCTGGGCTTCTGCATTTCCTTAAAGTTGTTTACAGCCAAGAAGAGCCCCCACCCCAAGGCACTCTGAAGCAAAGGGCAGTAAACCAGATAATACATAGACAAAATGAGCAAACGTGAGCCGAAGGTTTAAAAACCTGACCCAGAACGCAAAGGTGCCGAAAGAAGAGTTAACAACAGGAAAGGTAGGGAAAGAAACGAGAAGGAGTAGCCAGGGAGGGACCCAGCCACTCGGTTCACTGTAAAATAAATTTTAAGAGCTCTAGAAACGAGAATGAAGGAACCCTGATGGACCCATGGTTAAGCGCCCGGCTGCTGACCTAAAGGCTGGTGGTTCAAACCCACCTGGCACTGCATGGGAGAAAGACCTTACAGGTTACAGCCAATTAAACCCTAGGAGTCACTGTGAGTCGGA